AACTCGCTTCCATTCTTTAAATCTGGCTTGCTTTTTCAGGCCGCTTGGGCCCAAGCAAGAGGTATTTGCTACCGTGGTTCCCTCAATTGAGAGTAAATTCAGTTATAGTCGGATTCCCCGCCAGCTTGCTTATTCAGTCCCCCGTCACTGGGCACGAGAAAGTGGCTAGCGTTTTTCAGTTTCGACCGTGCATCACAATCAGTCTCTCAAGAGACAGTACAGTAATCCATTCTGTCAATCCAGTGTTTGGCTTGCTTTTTCAGGCCGCTGATTCACAAGCAAGAGGTATTTCGCTACCGTAGGTTGTTCTCATGCTAGGGTTAAATAATCGGACTTTGTTTTTGGCAGCATAGTAAGTTGGCAGCTAGTAAATTGATTCGCTCCTCTTCTTTGGTATCCGTCGTTCATTTTTTGGATGAGGGGGGTATCGGGGTTGGTGCAATTGGTGTACAGAACCGGTTCCCGGAAGTAGGATCCCCCCGCGGACGGATATCGACAAAAAAGAGAAAATGCATTCCATGCTCAGTTTCTCCATTACACTACCCATACTATTATAGCAATCAGATTTAATCTTAATTTTACGGTTATTGCAGATAGGGAAAGCATTTCGATTGTTGCATCTGGGCATTTCGCCGATGGCCGCCGACGTGGCTTGCGAGGAGTGCTCCGCCCTCGTAGAGTAGCGGAGGCGAGACTTCTGCCCGCCACTCTGGACGGGAAGACGCGCGTGCTGCACGCCGCTGTGGACGATTTCGTCCGAAACGGGGTCGCTCCGGAGTACGTGACGCAGGTGCTTATGTGCGCAATCTCTGGCCGCAATCCAGCAGTACCTACTAGTCCAGCAATACCTATTAGTAGGTACTGAATCCAGCCGAGTGTCGGAGAATCACCCTCTATATGATTGTGACACAACATCTTGTGCACTAACACGAGGTGACTGCTACGGCGGAGGCGACGGAGGAGGCACGTCCTTTCTCGCTCGCACCACGCTCGTCCCCTTTAATTAAACTAATGGCTAGTTCTCCTTTTTACTGGAATAGTGGCACCGGTGCGTTTTGGAACTGCTACAGCATCTGCGCGCGAGCGAAGTAGTCAGAACTTCACAGTTTTATCGCTTAGCACAATATTTCTGTGATGCTGCTGGAAGAGATGTGGCTTAACCCGCATCGTTCTCTTAATAATCCAAGTTACATCTGCTTCAAAAACGACAGAGCAGAATTAGCAGCGAATGTGACATATGCCAACAGAGGAAGCAGCACACCAATCTAATAGGACGCAGAAATCTAAAGCGATGCTGAGATACACATGGCTTAACCCGCATCATTCTCTTAATGATCCAGGTTACATCTGTTACAGAAACGACAGAGCAGCACTATCAGCGAATGTGACAGATGCGAACAGAGGAGGCGGCACAGCAATCTAATGCAACGCAGCATGATTCATTATGTTTCAGTTCTTTCACAGCTGCAGCAAACCGAGGCCATTGCTGTTGCCGTTCAGACGGATCGCGAACCACTGCGTCTTTTTTCCTTCTACGCTGGTCCTGACCGCTGTGAAGACGTGCACCCTATTAGCTGCAGATATTGCAAAACTAGTTGAGACAAACACAACTCCAACACTCGTGGCGGGCGATTTTAATGCCAAACTCACGGCCTGGAGCTCCCGTATTCGCGGCCCCCGCAGCTGTAAGCTGGAAGCAATCGCTGACGCAAACGGTTGCGAGATTTACGCTCCCATTGCACCTACCTACTTCCTTTTTCAAACAAACGGCAAGCCCGATGTTTAGGATATTGTGTTTTGCCAAAAAAAACTTTACCTCTTACACTCACAGTTAATCACGAGCTTTCCTTTGACCTCTTTCCAGTGATAGCGGATATGGGACGCGGTGGGCCTGACGCTGTCAACTATACATATGACGCAGAAGCGGCTCACAGATTGGAAACAATTTCAGACGTTGCTGCAGCAGCGCATCCCAGATGCAACTACTCTGCCAGGACCACAGCAGATAGAAGCAGGAGTTGTAAAATTCGCCGAAGCTGTGACTGACAGCCTCAACGCAACAGCTGAGAAGCAACGTTCCTCTAAGAAGGAGCAACCATTTATTAAATTTGATTTCCAGGGGAAATGGAGCGCGCAGAGTATGGCGGAGAACGCGACACCCAGCTGATAAGCGGGATATAAATCGATTAATACGTAAAGTGGAAATAGAACTAGCTGAATACCGCAATTAGAAATGTGATAAATTGTTATCAGACATCAAACCCGACGATAATTCTCTGTGGAAAATATCTCGCACGCCAATTTCAGTTTCGCCGGTTCAGATTAGCAAAGAAGAGTACGTCGAATCAAACGAGGAGAAAGCAAAACCCTAAATAAAGCTAATGTTCTAGAATATCAGTTTCAGTTGGCCGAGGAGGCGCCGCCAATACCGCACGTTGTCGAAGTGCAACGAACGGTAGTGGCGGCACTGCACGCGCCCACCGATGAGCTGAGTTTCACTACAGAAACAAACGTCAATGTCCATCACGGAGCTGAAAGCTAAAAAAGCTCCCGGCTCCGGCGGCATCTCTAATGTCGTCCTCAAGAAGCTGCTACACAAGCCGTAGTGTTTTTGGTCGCTTTGTTTAATGTAATATTTATGTTTCAGCACCTTCCGAGTCAGTGGAAGCAGGCACATGTACTAACTTTCCACAAACAGGGGGAAAATCCGGAACTACCCGAGTTGTGCAGGTCCATAAGACTACTTAACACGTTCGTAAAATGTTGTGGAAAACTCATTCAAAACAGAATTCTCTAATTTGTTACAGATAATTCTCTCACAAATAAGGAGAAGTTTGGCTTATCGAATAGCATAACGCATCAGCTTGTGCGAATTACGGACCGCATAAGATGCAACTTCAATGAGAGTCGGTTCACAGGTGGCGTGTTCTTCGATGTTACCAGCCCCTGTAAAAGGTTTGGCACGTCGGTCTCCTCTCTAAACTCCACACCATGAACTTCTCCAGGTACATTGTCCATCTTATCCATTTGAACCTAGCAAAAAGGGCGTTTCAAGTAACGCTTCTGAATGCGAAATCTCCCCCATACGGGCCGGAGTGCCGCAAGGGTGCGTGATATTTCCTCGCACCCGCAAACTGAACTCGCCTTGTTCGCCGACAATATGGCTGTAATAGCCACGTCAAAAATGATCGAGCTTCCAAGAAGTATTTGGATCAACATCTATTAGAGATCCAGGAGTTGCTGAAACTGTGGGGGTCAAAGTCAACGTAAGAGTGCAGCTGTACTCTGTGCGTAGGCTTCCGCGCCGGAAGTTTATGTTGTCTAGTGTGACGTCATGGATACTCACAGCGACCACAGACACAGAGCTTTCATATAACAAATATATTTATTAACAAATAAAACAAAACAAATATATACACTTAATCATCTACTTACACCCTAGCTCGATAGACCTACATCCCCTGATCGCGGAGCGATCCAAATCCATGAATGGTTTGATTGTGGCATTCGCCACTCCTACTTTTGAAGCGCGCACAAAGCCTAGCTTCCGTGACCGATGTCACGCTGACACAAAGTCCGTTCTAGCGCACCAACGGCTGGTTTCCTCCGATCGCAGGAGCGATCTTATCCGATTGAGAGTCGGCGTGAATCGTGCACTACCACTCTTCACCTCGGAGCACGCACACAGCATCGCTCCCCCGTGACCGCAGTCACCCAAGGACCTAAAGTCCGCAGGCTTCGTCAACTAGTGACTCGAGCCTCGCGAGCCTGGTTCGCATATGCACCGTCGTGGCGCCAAGTTTTGTGCACACCCACGAGGTTTCCCACCGTCTCCAGAAACCCCCCCACTGGCTCTGTACACTCTGTTATATAGGCGAGGCCCACGTGACCTACACGTCACGCCACCCTCGCTTGTTATAACAGTGAAAAGTTTCTATAAGCCGGAAGACTCCCAAAGCCTGTGTCTCCCGTTTCCGCGTTCTTCCCTTTACGGAAAAACCCTTCTATTCCTGTGGCGAGCTACATCCGTCTGCCCAAGCGTCCCCAAATAGATGCCACGAGGCACGCTGGCTAATACGTTACACTAGGCTATCCGGGACGAGCCGCGTCACTCTCATGGTGGCTAACGTTTCGGCCAGCGTATTGTGGCCTTCTTCAGAGCGTACTGCAGTACGGGCTATAAAAGTAAAATATCTAGGCGTCACTTTAGATGGCTCACTTACTTTTTATCTGCACATAGAAAACGGGCAGAAGAAAGAGCGACAGAGGCAGAAGCTTGTTTCGATTACGAAGCTTTTTTCACAACTGTCAACGGCAAACTGTATCATGCTTTATTAAGTAATTATTAGGCCGCAAATGGACTGCGTATGTCCCAATTGAGCAATTGCAGCAAATACGAATTCGAAAAAACTGCAAGTAGTTCAAACTGAATGCCTCAGGACTGCCCTGTGCGCCCCTAGGTACATTTCCATAATCATAGTAGGCATACTAGCGGGCTAGGGCTATAACGGAGTTACATCGCAATTTATCAATGCTACAGCTGATTGAACATATCAAAAGTATTGTTTCTAAATTTTTCGAAAAACTTTTTTTCCCGAGATTGCTGCACAGCAACCCGGCCAACGGGTGAAGTATAAGCGACCTAAGCATTTCCTGGAGTATGAGTAATTTGAAACAGCGAAATGAGACCTGAAACATAAACTTAATATTTTTGCACACGTAATGCTTTGATTCTCACTGCAGATGCACGTTGCTTTCAATGTAACTGGCTCCAATATTTATACTTGGATTTTGGCGCGTGAGGGCCTGTCTTCACGATGGAATATCTCAGGTTATTTCGCGTCTTTCTCAGTCGTGGCGCTAGATGTCGCATGATCGCGACCTATCGTGCGACATCTAGTGGCACTATAGAGAGAGACGGAAAATGCAGTGAAATATTCCATCATGAAGACAGGCCCTCGCCAAAAAATAAAAACCTCTGTATAACTCAGCATATTCAGTAAAAAATTATTTTATTCTTTGTTTTTCACATTTTCTCTTTGAGATTCGACATCCCTCACGTGATGCGATCAGCCTTTGTTTTCTGAGGGAATGCAGATATTTGGTGCCTGCTGCAGTGCAGGGCTGCTGGCTGGCAGGAAGGTTTGGGGTGGGGGTAACAGGTGGAAAGCGAAAGCCGAGGACTGAAATCAACAGGCTAAGCCACACTTTGCTCGTGACAGCTCAGCGTACATGGTTTTGAAACTGTGTAAGTGTATCAACGAACGTGCCTTTTGCAAAGCTATCACGTATTTCAGGTAAGATTGTTTAGTTGCATATTAAAGTGACAATTGATGATGTAAACACTCCGCCTTAAATGCATTCCAAATATGATGACTGACTTTCGTGAAGGATTTGTAAAGAAATTTGACATAATGGAAGAAGTAATGTAATCACTATTCTGTATGGGATTGTTTCAAGGTGTGACCCTGTAGACGATGGCGAATGCAGGGGAAGAGTTGACAACGGACTCTGTGCCCGATCCTCCCAGAGTTGAAATACACGACGACGATGATGTCGGTCACAACAGCGACAGCGACAACAGTAGCGAGAGGGGTTCCTCTGCGAAGGGGCAAACCAGTGGCAATAAGACTCCACCGGCTCAAGGAAAGAAACGACGGAATTCAAAACCGAATTCAAAGCCTCAGTCTTCATTTGGCATTCCACGCATCAACACTCCAGGTATCAATACAGTTTTCTGACTTCATAGCAAGACGGTAGAAAATCATGGGGTTAAGAACTGTGAATGTGATGGGTAAAACTTGACATAATTTCAAGAACATTGAAGTTGAACGTTGATGAGATTTGTGTATCAGAGTAGAAAATGTTCAGTAGCAATATGTAGTAAAGTTCTTTAAGGTTCTTCAAATAAGGTTTAATTCGTGGAAGACACAGACCATTGTTCGATAAGGTACATAACTTTTCGCACCCAGTCCTACTAAGCTTTATTGTTTTGTCAAAATCTGTACATAAGCAAATTAGTCATCAGATATCTGAACTATCAGCCCTCCTGTGTTTTTCGTTGTATCATCCACAATATAAACGCAGGGAAGGCTTGTTGGTGGTGTGTCCAGTCAAATTTATTTTCTTGTAAGGAGTTTTCCGTTATGTTGAATTTTTTTGGGGCAGGCTGAAGTTCCATGTAACATTGTTTCTCAGTTTTTTCATTTGATAGGGATAAAGGAATACCATGAACTTTCATTGAAAGCTTAAATCAGGGTTTCAATTGAAGTTCATTTTACACATTTGTTTCACAGAAAAAGTTGTAAAAAACGTTCATTCTTTGAAAATAATAATGTTAGATTAGTTCATTCATTTTTTCTTCATGGTAATTCTGTCATGCCTTTTCAGGTACAGGGGATTCCCTTGAGCATTCTAGAGTTTAGGAAACTTGCCAGTCATCCAGAACACTCTGAGTAACAAAATAATCAGGGCCATTAAATTTCTTTTCCTTTAATATGAGATGAATCAGACACAGAGAATCATTGCAAAAAAATCATGTTGACTGATGGCTTAAAAAAATAATTAAATAATAGAGAGTTTTCCAGTTTATGTAAGTCCCAATTTCTCTCTGGGTAATACATATTCTTTGTATAAAGGTGATAAATTAAATCAATTACTTGAATTGAGAAAATAACTAAAGCAAGAATTGTTGCAGAGAAGGAAGTAGTCGGATATGAAAACCTTGAAATGTGAGAGAGCAGAAATGCTGCCAGAAGTCACTCACTACAGAAATTGAAAGTGAATTAGTGACATAATTGTTTTGGTTAAAACTTAAGATTTTAAAATTTCACAATCCTCATGACAATCTGATTTCAAAATGTTTAGGGTCATTAAATAATCATGTGCCTATCATGTGTTACAAGCATATATGACTACTCTCATAAATGTGAGTGCAGACAATGGAGTTTTAAACCATTGTTTGGCTCAAGAAGATAAGGAAGGTCTTGTCTCAAAAATGGGATGCAATAAAAAAAATGGGCTATATCTTTATATATTCGAATTTTTTATTTCTAAATTATTTGGATGGTATCACAAAACTATTAAACAAGAGTCTTTGATTAGTATTTTATACTTCAACTTGATGACAATGTGAGAATATTTCAATTTAAGCCAGAGAAGTTAGTAAATTTTGAAATTGTTTGTTGCCGGTTTTGGGTGTACAGAGTTCTGCAGATTAAAAAGATTACAAAGAAGGGACTGGAAATGAATAGATACTTTAATATCATTTTAGGTACTGATAAAAAAATCCAATTTCCAGGACAATGGCAGAATACATAGCTATTATGTTCTTTGGGTTGCAAAGCTATTTGAGGCTCCCTCTTTGTCCTCCTCTAGGAGTCTCTTCTCCTTCTCTCCTCTTCTTCCTCTTCCCTTATCCCCTCCTTTCATAGCCTCCTTCTCCACCTTTCTCCAATACTCTTCTTTGCCCTTTTCTTCCCCTCACCTTTTCTTCTCCTTCTCTATCCTCCTCTCCTCCCCTTACCCTATCTTCCTTCCTTCCCTCCCTTCTACTACCTGGAAGGATGGCTCAGGACATGAACTGATGTCATGACAGTGACAGGCTTTTCGCCACTATCTAGACAGCTAGGTCGAATTTAGCTGTTGTCTGGAGGAAAATTCTAGTGGCCGACTGCTCTGATAGGTAATTTTTCATGGTTCCTTAGATCAATACAAGGCAATGCTAGAGCAGTACTGTAGAGTAATGGACCATGTGCGATCTTTCTTTGTTCTTCCTTGACCCATCCTCACCATTTATTTACACTTTCGCATGGACTACACTACCACACGTAGAGCTTCTCCTAGCTCGGGTGGTGCCACACTGGTGGAAGATAATAGTTGGGTAACCTCGCTGCAAGCTGACGTAGGTTAGTGCTGGATCTCGCCATCCAGTAGGGGCAGATCACTGCCATGTCCCATGATAACAACATGCATTACACTTGACTAATGACCTTAGCATTGTCCTTGGTATTATGCTTCCGGAACCACTAATCAATCAGTCAATCAATCCTCTCTGCCCTCCGACCTTTTGTCTCCTCTTTCATCTCCTTACCTTATCTTCCCACCCTCTCCTCTCACACCTTTTCTACACCTCCTCTTCACACACTCTCCTTTCCTTGCCCTTTACTCTCCTCCCTGCAATATTCACCCTCCTCTCCTTTCTTTTCTTCTCTCTCTCTCTCTCTCTCCCTCCTAATTCCAACATAAACATTTATAAGAAAACCAGTAAACCAAGAATAACATGAATGTCAATTTTACATCAATTATGGTAGATAATCAGTTAATCCTGAATAATTTAAATTTAACATTTATCATTTATCAACACAAATAAAAATGCAACAATGATATTAACCTTGAAATTAATTAATGGCCACCCTGAAATTTCTAATGTTTTCATAATCTTTATCAGGAGCTGCGAATATGATTTGCATAAACAATGCAAGCAATATTCATATTGGAAACAACATTAGCATCAATGTTGTTGGTCAAGCATATTCCCAACGTTCGGCTTCCAAATCACCTTCACCTGAACCTCGGAGCACTGAGAAATCTCAAGAAGTGAAAGGTGAGATTGTTGAGTATTTCTAATTTTTTCTACGAGACGTAGAATGGATTAGCATTTTAGTAGAATTATTTTTTAATACAAATTATTTCCTGTCAGTGTGTTAATGACTTGCTCCACTTTTGAATGCTGTAGGTGTACCTTAAGGTAGAAGGAAAAGAAACTAGAAATAGTTTTATGCTACAAGTTGTCTGTTAACAATAATAACCCTTGTTTGTTTTTTTGTCATTTGGGCTTAGTCACGTTCCCAGCAAAAGAACATACTTCTGTTTTAAGAATTTAATCTCTCTTAATTAAACATTAGTGTAATTTTTCATGTCAAGGAATGTATTTAGGTTATTAGGAGACAGTCGCAGCTTTGATTGTAACAGTTAAATTCCAATGTCATTCCAATGTTCAGGGTTGAAATTAAGTCGTAGTTGTAAAATTTTTGAGAGCAAAAATTCTTTTAATTATGATTTTCTTTGGAATTGAAAAAAAAGCAATTCGGCTCTTGTTCATTAACGGCCTATGGGGAAAGAACCTCAAGCCTGAAAGATGCCTCTGAACAAAATTTGAAAAGGGCTTTCCTGCTCAAATAATACTATGGAAGAATACGTTTAGTATCCTAATAAGTATTCTTGTGTGATAATAGATTGAAATGTCAAATTTATTGTACGTGAATTTCAAATTAAAATTTTATAAATTAATTGTAATGAATGATACTAGCTGTTTTAAGTTCATTAAATGATTTAACTACAATCCGATACAAGGAATCCACAGGAATTTATTTTCTTCTGGGACTTTCCTTTCTTTTTCTTTTGTTTGTCCTTTTTGTTCTTTCTTGAGTTGGTTTGCAGAGACATGTGGACTATGATTCTATAATTTTGAATTATAGATGCCTGTAAGAGTACTGCACCAGTACTCGTTGAAGACCTGGACACAGTGACTGAGCATGTGGGAAGTCGGTGGACAAAGCTTGGTGAACGCTTAGGGTACAGTAAAGAGCAAATGGAACAATTTCATGAAGATCATCATGGCATGGGGCTCAAAGAGGTGAGTAGCTAGCCTGTTTGCACTAAATGCATTGAACTAATTAGAAATTGAATGATGTTTATTGTTTACTTACTAGGAATGAACACTATTTTTGCTTGTTCTGTGTCACACCTACATCATGGAATATAAAAGTGGAGGGAGTATTAATTTAGCCAAAATATCAAAATTAGTATATTTTTGTAACAATGTGCAACATATTCACAAGCAAAATGGTGTCATATTTAAAACCTCTGAACTTGCAAATCAGGTATATGATTTGCTAACTGTGTCCATTTTCATGACGAAGTTCTGGCCTTCAACCTTATTGATTCACCGTGAATAATCCCATAACAAGAATGTATAATTTTGTAAATGTGTATGGAATTGAATTATGTGGCGTAAATATAGCTATGTTCAAAAAGACTGCAGAGTTTTTTATTTTGAAATACAAATAGGTAATGTGATAACGATTATTGTTCTGCGTACTGTTTTTGTAAAATTGTATTACATTTGGACATACTCTGCCCATATAATAAATAATAATAATAATAATTACAATAACAACAACACAAAACATCTCTGAGCCTCTTCCACAAATTTTATTCCAAAGAACTTTTTTGCCGATCGCTTCAATGTCACACCTGAAGCTTCGCGATGCACATCAAAGTTTGTAAAGAGGCTCAGACCCTGGGTCCACATGATTAACATAAAACATCCTTTAGCCTGTCCAAAGGAATATTTACATGGAAAATTGTTAGGCTTTGTTGACAAACATCACTGCAAATCTCTTATCATTTCCCACCATATTCACTAAGCTCACCCAATTTAGTGCCATTATACAGTGTGTTGTGCACTGCACTCACTACATAGTGGGCAAAATGCCAGGCAGAAACAAAAATTCTTAGTTTGGCAACATATCAACACATCTTAAATCTTGCGAACGGTCAGTCAACCAGAGTACACAAGCAATGAAAGCCTGATGCAATAGTGAAGTTAAAAAGTTACATGGTAGACATCTCAATGAATTATCAGGCCAGAATATAGATTTTAAAGAATCTATTAAGAGGTTGACACATGGTTTTCTGTACCCAGAAACAGAAGGCTTTATGATAGCCAACAAGACCAGGTTATCACAACCAGAAATTACTTATGATATTTAATAAGAGACCCCTCCATAGTAAGTGATAAATGTAGAAGATGCAGTGCGCACAAAAGTCTTCCAGCACATTCTTGCCAGTTGTGGGCTTCCACCACCTAGAAATTTAGGCATGGTAATATGGATAGATGGTTCGTATTAAAATACAGACTTGGGTTGTGTAATATACCATATTACTAATATCATCCTTCTACAGTCTTAAAAATGAACAATGGAAGTTATATGGGACAGAAGCATAATTACAGACACCACAATTTTGAAAATAGCCCTGATATAACAGTTCTAAAAAAGCTCAAGAAAATAGCCATGATCATTGATTTTGCAGTCATCTACAATAACAATCTAGAATCTTGTTTTTAACTTGAAAATTCAAAAACATGTACCGTGACTCAAGAACTTCACCATTAATGGAGACTAAAAAATATTAGCGTACAACCTATAATCATTGGCACCACAGGATTAATACCATAACACATAGTGCATGCAGGAAGCGATAACCATTACCATGTGCAGAGAAAATGCAGAAAGCAGTAATACTGTACAGCTGCAGAATAGTTGGGGAATTTCTGGGATGTACTGCATATTGGGACACGATTGATTGCAATGTCTGGAGAGTAACATTCATTGGTCGATCTTGCAGAGAAAAGACATAGCCCAGGCCAGCAATAGTCAGATAAATGTTCCTGCACATAGTGCAGGGAGTGAAAAATTCAGATAATAATATTGTTGTTACTATTGTTATTATTGTTATTAGTAATATTATTATTATTACTATTATTGTAATATAATATACTAGCAGAACCTGGCAGATGTTGTTCTACATTTCATTGAGGCCCACGGCCTTAACATTTTAATTTTTAATGCCTTAGAACACTTAATTTAGGAGTTATTTTACAATACAGATTAAAAACTTCCTGCCAAGTGTATTGTAGTTGCATTTGACATGAATATTTTGTTTTGTTCTACTGCATAAAGTTCTGCATAGTATTCTACAGACAAAATTATCTTTGAAGCAGGTTGTATATCCTGTCCGTGCAGATTGTTTTGAGTTTTTGAAGTAACATGACATTCATACTAATTAATAACAATATAACAAAATACATAATAAAAAATTAAAATAAATTACTGTTTTTAAATCTATGAACTAACCATGACAAGAAGAGGGGTGACAATATTAATGTCGACTATGCTCAGTCGATAGTAAGGATGCCTAGTCTCGCTTCTACAGAGACAATGAAACTTCTGCTAAGCTACCACCGTTGGTGCCATGAAAAAGAGGCCTTTTATGGGGTCATTAACACAAAATGAGATTATCTTCCTCAGGTTTCCAATTTTCCTAAAATATGTTGAATGTTATGTTGGTGTTTGAAATTAAGACTATTTTTTTATGCTTTAGGTGGTGTATCAGATGTTACTGGACTGGAAGCAATACAAGGGTGCAGAAGCACAAGTGGGCCTCCTATGTCATTGTTTGTGGAGTGCAAGGCTCTATTTAGCAGCAGAAAAATTGGCTGCTCGACATTCAGGCAAATCACTGTAATGGCAGTGTAAGTTAAGCTACATTTGTCATAACACGGACATTTAATAATATTTTATTTTTAGGAACTTAAGTTGTGTAGCAGCCTATGTTTCTTTTTATGAATATTAAAAAACCTTAATGCCAGAACCTCTGAGAAGTTAGGTATATTATCTGAAGGGAAACACATCAATGCATTCATTATGTATCTTGGTGAATTAATAAAATGTAAATTGAAAGAATTAGGAATATTGTTAAGTTTATATTGATTGTTATCAACAAATTATACAGAAAGCATATCGATTTTCATATCAAATGTCAATGACTATTTCATTAAAATTATATCAGTGATCATGATAAGCCTTTAGTTAGATAAGCCTAACGTTAAGCAAGCAGATCACAGTACAGAATCTCATTAGAGAGTTATTATTTTCTATTTTGATAATTTTCAAGCCTTTTAACTCAAATTAAAATTTTATTTTTAATACGTGAAGAAAGGATAAAGTTTAAAATAAAGCATTCTTATCTTAAACGTTTTATGTATTTGTTTACCTGTTTTGAACAAATGGGCAACAAACAACCAAGCAACATTCTGTTCTTTTTGGAAAAATGCTTAGAAATTAAAGAAACCTTACATTTTAAAGGATGCTGCAATTTCTTATTATATGAAAGCTATTTGAAAGGAAAGGGGGCTGATTGTTGCATATCTAATTCATTCTTAAACCCACCAGGGACTTTAAGATTTTCTAAAATTGGTGCTTAGTCTGCTGATACAAGACTCCATCCAATTTGCTTGTTGTAGAATGGATGAAAATTGTTTGCATTCAGTTGTAAGAATTACTCAGAAATAGGAAATATCTGTCTGAAATATATCATTAAGCTTTCTGGATGTTTATTGTAAAAGGGTGCCTGTATTCTTCTTTGTGGTTTTGGAAATCTCCATGCTGGGAAGACATTTCTTCTTGCTTGCATCTGTAAAGTAACTTTTATTAATTGATATTCAACATTTTTGTGTATACAGTATTTTTACTTTTATAGCTTTTAATATTGTCAAATAATTTTATGTGTACCTTCGCTCCACTTCCAGTGTAAGAACTTATAAAGGGCTCCAATTAGGGGTGACCAAACTTTTACATACCATAAGCGATTATTATTCACGTAGAGTTCAAATACACTGTTTAATTTGCTATTTAATTGAAAATTAGGGACCCTTCAACTGCTAAGGTTAATTGAGGCCCACGAGTGCTGAGCAAGTGATCAGTTATTTATTAGAGTATGAATAACTGGTGGAATGAGAAATGAGAGAACCCAAGAAAACTCGCTAAGGACTCGCTTGTTCCACCACAAATTCCTTGATCGGATTGAACCCAGGTCTCAGCAGTGGGAAGCGAATGCCCCAATTCACTCAAACCCTTTTTTGTTGTTTACGTTGGTGAACACAAACTTAGCTCTGTAGCAACCAACCATCTAAATAATGCTTTAAGGCCATGTTCATTGCAATGGCTGCTGAAATGCTCAAGAGTCTATTAAAAATATTTTAGGTGACTCTCAGATTTAGATGTTACCAGGGCTCATAAATCTTTGGATACATATGGTCCTTTGGCCCCCTTGTTTCTTTTGTCCTTTAGTCCCACTTGACTCGTCCACATTTCCTTTTACCTCCTTGGCTTATTTTGTTCCGTTGTCCCATTTGTCTTATCCCCTTTTTCTTCCCTTTTCCAATTTTGTCTCCATTGTCCCATTTTGTCCCTATGCCCTCTTCATCCTCCTTCCCTCGCTTTATCCCCTTTCATCCTCTTGGTCCTTCCATGCACTGCATTTGTTGGTCCTTGCATTGCAAGTGCACCAACAACCCTTGTTACAGAACATCAAGGGTGATGACAATTCTTAACTCGTGAAAGTGTTAAATGTTTATTTTGAATAACTAGATATAAAAAAAAAAATTGAAACTCTTCCCCTACTTTTAAGGACTCGGACAAAAGATTAACTTCTCAACTCTGGTATTGGTCCGCCTTGCAGTTAATCTTCCAGCCTGGTTCTTGAATACTAATTTTGAGGACTTGTTTCATAAATAACTATTTCCATCTTATGTCCATACTTGGGGTTGAAAAATTTGAGTAGAGGTAGGATGTGCTTAGTGGGCATAATTTAGGGGCAATGGCATTCATTCAATTTCAGAATATGGGAGGTGGAGGGATGTGGAGTCTGAATGAGGTGGAGCACCAGATGAGAACTTCGGAGGCATCTGTTCTTTCTACTCATAAGAATGTGCCATGTATAGCACATGTCCCATAGGCTGGTCAATCCTTCTCTAGATAGATCTAGACCACATTAAGTTCATTCTGTGAAGTATGAAAAGTTAGAATTCAATGACCCTCACCATAGAGTAAAGAACAATTAACGTTTTCTTAATTTTACATCTTTGGAACAGCAGTATCACAGTACTTGCATAAAATATAACAGTAAATATGTCTTATAAATTAGGAGATGTATCATGATTTTAATGAAAACTAGGCATGGAACTATCTAGAGCCATGCCCTTTATATGTGTAACAAAATCTACATCTTAATAGCCAATTGTCTGAAAACGGGATGTTTCTGCATTAGAAAGATCTTACAGGATCACACAAATTGGTCACACTGCACAATTTTTAGTATTGACTATTATTGGAGCTTGGTAGGAGATACAACTTTATTTTCGGTTTAGAAATTGACTTTGTTACTGTTAAAGTGTCTTTTTCTCTCAAGTGCCTCTGGGTAATTAATCACATAAGAAGTGTCCAATGTAATCTTAAGATAATAAATGTTGGTTATCAAGAAAATAATTGTGCCTCAGATTAAGATATTTCAGTTTCAATTTTTGAAAGTGATTGCTGTACTTAGTTTTTCTCTGCTACAATAATTAATTATACTTGTTATATATGTATATACACATTATATTATGCATTATCTTATTCATATAAATGACTGATGTGCTGATGACTGAAAAGATTGCAAGAAAATGACTATTTTCCCAAATACAGTAAAACTTGCTCAATGAGGAATCTCAAGGGACCAGAAATTTTTCCACTTTAGAGAACATTCCACATTATGAAAATAAGGCCATTTCCACATTTTGAGGACCACACTTTCTGTTCACATTAAGCAGATTTCCACAATATACGCTTCACATTGAGTATGTTTTTCTGTGATTGGGAACTAAATCAAGAAAAATATTATATACTTTGTTTTCATTTAAAAATATTGACCAGTTAGCTGTGATTTTAAAATGGAATATATACTGAGGTCATATATATTGCTTGTCATGAAGTACTAAAATAATAATGTATTAAACTATTTTTGAAAATTAGTGGAAAAGTGTAATGTTTCCCAGAATTAGAAGTGTGTGCAAGGTACAATTTGTAAAAATGTTCAGCAGTAGCAACTACAATTCTGCTATACTACTATTACAAGCTAAAATTATAATAGAAACATTTTATTTTTTTTATATATTTGTTGTTTTTTTATTTCATTGCCTTGGACATACAAAATCTAGTTCGGGAGATTCTCAATGAAACAATTAAATGAGTGATAATGACTGATATTCATAGTGTCCATTTATTTGTAAAAGAGGAGTTGTATAAATTTTAGTTAATGCTAAAATTTGTAAATTTTAGAAACAATACATTGCCTTTTTCAGTATCAATTTTTTAAAATAAGTGTATTTCTATTTTGTGGGAAAGGTTTTTTGACAATTTTTTTAAAATGTATCAATAATCAGGAGAGGCAGTGTATGAAACAATGAGTGAATTAAATTCTTTAACTAGTTTTAAGAGGTTATGTGAGGTGTTTGCCCTCAAAACTAGTTCATTCCATTTGCAGCTATTTAACAAGAAACAATCTTCCCACATCCACATGCAGTTTGATATGAATGTAAAGTGCTCACCTAATTTTAAGTAATAATAAGATGGGTATTCCATCATATTTGTATGGTTATGAAGATCTCCTAAACATTGCAAAAATGCAAAAGAAGTGAAAGTTGGTCAATAATAGAATGAGCTAGTTGGAAGAACATACCTCATATAACAGGTATATCATGCAACTTGTGTATGTGTGCTTTTGTAAAATAAAAGATTTCTATTTGAGTATTTTTATTTAGCTCATTAATCCCTAGTTTTAACAAATGACTGTTGCATCACAACAATGACATTCTTTTTATGCATCTCCACAGTAACATCAGTATGCAGTTTTTGTTGTCTAATGTTGCCAAATGCTGCTTGAATGGAAACATTTTGTTTCTTGGTATAAAGATACTGGCACATGAAATTTTGAAATAAATATTTTGAGTTCATTCCAGGGTCCTTATTGGGAAGGATGCAATTGATGAACTTTGCCCTCCTTCAAATAGTAATATGTAATTTTGTGTGGCGTCTTGTATTTTATGCATATTTTTACATCTATGAACCACTAGTCGCAGAAAATAATTTAGGTGGTACTTTGTGCTTAGAAGAATACACATAATGTGAAATAATTGCATGATCCTTAAAATGTCCAATAGCCTGAGTAATCTCCATACATTCCTATTAACCTTAGCAAGAATAGGAATCATATGCAATGAGATTCCATCTATACAAAAATGCAGACTGTAAGCCATCAATAGATCAATCTATTCTTTTCATACTGAAGAGCAAACGGGGTAATCAACACCTCATTTGTTATTTAATTTATAACAATTGGTTTGTTTATTTATTTATTTATTTATGTCAAAACAGTTAAAAAACCGTGTCACGTGTTAACCAATGTATTTTTGTTGCTAATGTTAACTCAGAAAAGTCTGTGTACTCATGGTTCTGTTCTCTGTACTCTGTTCTTCAATAACACATTTACATTCCACGGTAACAATTTTGTTGCATAATTTGTAAAAATTAAAATATGAAAATTGGTAAGCACTGAAAATTCACACCTTGTCTGCAAATAAAGCGAACACAGTTCAATACTAGCTTCATTGAGTATGCCATTGCTTCCTCACAGGGGATGACCCCACATCTCTAGATATTACTGGATAGGCACAACAAGAGAGACCATCAACCATCTTTAGTCTCTTAGTATATAACTACTACAAATTGTTTATTGTTTGTTTCATAATTTTTAAACTGTGACAAGAGAAGTGCTTGACAAACTAGGGCTACTACAACAAACTTTCGGGAAACCCCAGCGAATCATCAGTGACAGAGGTACTGCATTCACTCTGATAGTTTCAAACAGTATTGTGCAAAAGAGCACATTAACCATTTGAAAGTAACTACTGATGTGCCCCGAGACAATGGTGAAATGGATAGAATAAACCTGATTATCATCCCCGTGCTGACTAAATTGTCCGTAGACAACCCGGATGGGTGGTACAAGCATGTGCCTCAAGTACAGCGATGCTGAAACACCACCAAACCATTCCAGGCGTTCATTGATGTCCCAATGAAGCACCAGGATGACCTCCATGTTCTGTGCACCATGGAGGAGTGGGTTCAGCTCTTTGACGAGGAGAGGAGACAACTGCTTGAAGCAGCCAAAAAGAAGATATTGAAGGTGCCAGAAGAGAATGTGTGGTACCACGTAAAATGGACCAGACCAATCATGAAGTAGCCATCAACAGAACACAGTTCCCTCCTGGGTTGAAGATCAAGGGGAAGTTCTGTGGACCCTAGCAAACACTTGCAAAGAAAGGCAACGATTACTACAAAGTGGGGCTAGTGGGAACAGGGGAGGGTCCGCGGTTGACTACAACAGAAGCAGACTACATGAAGCTCTTTCAAAGGCTTCATCGGGTCCAACAAAGAACCAGGGATGGGAGAGAGAGGATTTAGTGAGTTAGATTAGTTTAGGGTTAGGCGAAAATAGTAATAGTATTAGGCAGTAGGTGGCGCCCTAAACACAGGACGCCAAAGAATGTTTTGGAGGAAAGGGACAGATCCGGCTAGGACAAGGAGGTGGTCAGAGGTGTGTGTTGTGTGTGTTATGTGTGTGAGAGAGTGGACTGTTCCCTTCAGTATTATGGTAATCACTGGATATTGTTTTTAAATACTGAAAGTATGTGCCTTCAGTACTGCTTCCGATTAAATTTTACACTCATCTTTAAGATGTACTTTCATTTAGCAAACATTTTAATACAAGTTCAGAATTATTGACACCTTTGAAGATTTAAACGTGTTTTCTCGAAACTAACTTGGAGTGTGTAAGGGTGCTGTTTCTGCTAAATTAATATTTATCTACAGACCATTAAATGTTGGATAAAATCTTAATCAACCATCTTAAGTCTATTAGTAAATAACTACTACAAATTGTTTATTGTTCATTTCATAAGTTTGCTAATTTTATTGTATATTATATTATATTGTATTTTCTCAAAATAGTTCAATTATGTGAAAATGTTTATAAGAAATATAATATAATCTTTACATCAACTTTGTAATTAATTTAAATCTTTGTATCTGAGTAATTTTAAAATACAAATATATTTTCGAATATTACAAATAATAAATATTGATTTAAATCATACCAGCCTTATTTAACCTATATCTAAACCTGTGACAAATCAATTGTAGTCATTTAATTTCTGTTGCAGTGATCTTCAATTATAATAATAATATGGTTGTTGACATTCAACTTTTTTAACATGTCTTATAACTTATAGATTTCCATTAATCTTTTCTGATTATGTAAATCAATGGAAATTTTAAAAAAAATATAAGTTGAAATTTCAACATTGTAAAATACATTATTAAATAAAATATTAATATTTTTTAGTTGATAGAGTCATCATTGTCAATATTCTACAAGTCGATGAATTTCTAACGATCATCAATATCATCACCTGAATGAATTGAGTTCTTTTTATTTTTGCAGAATTTATTGAAATATCCTTTAATATTACAAAATTACAGGTTTGCAAATTTTATAAGTGAATTCTCTATTTTAACATGCCACACATATCACAATAATTGCAATGTTTCTCATCTTTATTTTGTGACCCACAAAAGTTCAAAATTTTTTCTTACAACTAAATTATTGAGGATACATATTTTTCCTTAATGAAATCTGTTTTTGAAAGATAGTTTTTAACATAAGGCCATGAATACATTTTTGAACCAACCACCATTTGCTCTACACCGGCCTCTCCCTCCGACTTAAAATCTTCAGTCAATCCTCAAATGGAATGTACATATAACAAAATTAAACACTAAATTTAAGTTCATCATGTTACGCATTCAGAATTCTTTCAAATTCTGTCATCCTTCATGCAGTTCATTGCGGGTATTTTGTAAATGTACATTCCTGCCTGAGATATGGCATAATATTTCTGGGGAACTCATCATATAGTACTCAGACGTTTAGATTGCAAAAGAAAATTATTTGATTAATGAACAAATGCCATCCACGTGATCCGTGCAAGCCTCTCTTCATTGACCTTGGAATCTTACCACTGCCTGGCCTA